CCTCCTGTACTGCGTGGGGGTGATTGGACCTGCCTCACCTGGTGTAGTAGCCGACAGCGGGGGCTAGATAGCAGGTCCTCATCCTGCAACCCAGAGAAAGGGCTATACGGATGTGATTAAGTGAAGGATCTTGAGATGGGAGGATTATCCTGGGTCATCAAGATGGGTCCAAAATCCATCATGTGGCCTTAAAAGAGGGAGACACACAAAAGTTACACACATACAGAGAAGCCCAAATCTCAAGAGAGATTTGAAAATTGGAGTGAGGCAGCCACAACTCAGGGCACACTGGTGCCCCAGAAGCTGGTAGAGGCAAGAAATGGTCCCCCAGGGAGTCTGGAGGGAGTGTGGCCCTGCTGACACTTTGGATTTGGCCCAGTGATTCTGATTTTGGATCATGGATTCCAAAACTATGAGAGAATAAATTTCTGTTGTTTTACCAGGTTTGTGGTAATTTGTTAAAACAGCCACAGAAAACTAATACAGATGGATAGTGATAAAGGAATTACTCACACAAACTATTCATACACAGAGAAGCATTATACACTTGCATATCATATGGGTATAGGTTATTTAAAAAGTGATGACATTGGTTTCCTTCAAAAATGTTAGCATCTCTAAGTATTAAAGCTTTGGTTTGACATCTACAAACAGGAAGATGGGTCCCTGTTCTCCCTCTTACCTTCTCCAAAAGACTATTTCTGACACAAGACAAGGAGGAGCATCATCTCTAGAGGTCTCTACAGCAACTCCCTTGAATTTTCCCACCCCTGAGCCAAGAAGACCAAGAAGGAACCCAGATGGAGACTCAACCTTTCTTCTCACTGAATGCCAAGAAGAGACAGACAGAAACAGCAGCAGCTTTACCCAATCCTAGCAATGGATTTGAACCTGTAACTCAGGATCTATCAGTTGGTTAACCCCTCTTAGCCTGTGATCTTTCCTGACAGTGCTGTTGCTGTGGCATTCATTTACCGAGCCATGGTTATCTGGAGGGCATATGACAGAGTTGAGCTGCAGTTCTCCACCCTGATTCAGAGAGCCCTGTTTGTGTTTCTGGGCTGATGGTATTCAAATTGTTCAAGGAACATTAGAGAAATTTTAACTAAAACAGGAAATTAGAAGCACTTTTAATTCCTCTTGGGATCTCTGAAAACAGCAATTGTGATTCCAGAAAGCAGAGATGCAAATTGCTTGCAAATTCAGTTCACCAAATAAATAGACCTCATTGTTTGCAGTGCCTGGCTGTGTTTACCATCTGATGAGAGACCTTAGGACTAAAAGTCTGCAGCACTTTAAAAATGGTGAAAATGATCACTTCTATGCCTATTTTACAATCTTTTCAAAGTCTGTATAGAGATAATATTACAGTACTCAGATCTGCCAGATCAAACTCACCATACTTTCTTTCTCCTTAAAGTACTGTTTTGCCTTTTATTAAAAAATGCTCATCTATGTCACATATTAGTAATACGACTTAAATTCCTGAATCAGGATTATTTATTTATTGAGATCTCATAAAGTTATCTATTTTGTGCAGTGTGGATTTAAGCACACTTGATTGTGAGTGAGGATTCTAAACAGGCCCATTGGTTGGCTGTAACCTGAGTCTGCAGGATCAGCTCAGTGTCAGAGATTAGTAGTGAGTTTTCAACACCTCACATCATGTTGCCTTCCTGTTTTTCTTTGCCCAACCTCAGAAAATGCCCAGGCTCCCCTACTCCCACATATTCTCAATAGGGCCCAGCCTCCTGTTGAGCCAGCAGGTCAGACGGGTGCCCTGCGGGGGTGTGTGCATGCCCTATCCAGCATGTGAGTGTGTTTCCTCTTGCATGGATGTGGTGTCCTGGGAGGGGCGGGGGAGTGTGGGGAGCTGTCCACTCAGAAGGAGGAGTTGAATTCTGCTGTTTCAGGCCATCCTTCCTGACCTCTGGCCATCGAGGAGGCCTAAACTTCTGGTCTAGAACAGAATCCAAGACTGATGTAGGAACCTTAACAAGAGGCCTCCTGTGTGCATTGAATGGGTCTGTATGGGGAACTTCTTAAACCCTTTTAAACGATTGCAAAATTATTCTCCTCCCCTGCCCAGGATTGAGGAGGGCTGCTGAAGAGTTTCCATCCACTTGAATGTATTTTCACCTGTGCTTCCCAGGAAGCTTGTACTGGAAGCTCCTTGGGTGGGAGTGAGGGTTAGGAAGACTGCTAATCAGTATGAGCACCCAGCAGACAGCATCGGAGCTTGAACCTGTGAGGGAAGAGTGTGCATATGTACAGGGCTCCCTTCCAGCCACCTCTGCTGTGTTTCTCAACCTCCATGTGGACACTTGTAGCTGTGAGGGCTGCTACCCGACACAGTCTGCTGTTAGCTTCCATCTTAATAATACTGTAATTATTGAACAAAAATTGCATATTTGGTGCATTCCCTCAGCTGTGTTATCTTGGTTTAAGGCCAAGGATAACAAGAATACCATAGACTGGGTGATTTAAACAACATGCATTTATTATCCAGAGGCTAGCAAGTCCAAGATGATGGCACTGGCAGATCAGGTCTGGCGAGGCCCCACCTCCTGGTTTGCAGATAGCCTTCCCACTGCATCCCCCATAATGGAGAACAGAGAGTGAACAAGCAAGCTCTAGTTGTCTTCTTACAAGGGCATTAATCCCATTCATGAAGACTCCACCCTCATGACTTAATTACCTCCCAGAGGTCCCACCTCCTAATGCCATCACATTTGGAGTTAGGATTTCAGCATATGAATTTTAGGAGGATACAGCCATTCAGTGCATAAGTCATAAGTGTACAAACAGTTTCATGAGTTTTGACAAATGTATACTTCTGTGTAGTCAACAACCCAAGCAACATGTAAGGCATTTCCATCAACTGCAAGGTTCTTTCATGCCCCTTCTAGTCAGTGTCCTTCCCCCACCAGAGGTAAACCCTGATTTGTTTGGTGTTTGCTATATATACTCCTCAATCCTAGAATGGGAAACAGGAGAATACAGAATGGGAGCTTCAATAATAGGACCAGAACTAAGATGTGCTCACTTAGGAGAGTATGCACATCCTAACTTTTAGGGTCCCAGAGACCTCACCCCCTCACCCTAATCCCAGCCCTTTTAGATAGAGTGGCCTGTTACAGAGACAGTAAAATGGGAAAATGGTATGGTCTGGCCCTGTGATCTGCTAAATCAAGCTTGGTGATTCATGTGCTTCCAGGATTTGCTGTACTTTGACTTCAGTGAACACCAGGCTCTTAAGTCAGTTATATCCCCCTCCCTATATAAACTATTCCTGCCCATCACATTTAGAAATCCCTAGTAACTCTATAAGAGATTTCCTCCCCCCAGGTTCAGACAGGCTTTGCTGTGACAGTGCATCAGTGTTCACTGCAGAAGGCTGCTCTTGTTCACATTCCAACCTATATGTGGGCACTAGCTTGTAAACTATTATTCAACCTGCTGAATGTGTGGGTGTTCTGACTCCTCGCGTATTGTTCTTATTAGTGGGTACTCTAATTGTGTTCTTCATGTATCCTTGTTATTAGAGGGTACTCTAATTGTGATGGTTGTTTTGTAAAGTTTAGAATAATTCGTATATAGTAAAACATACTTAACGTAAAACCTAGACTGAACATAATTAAGTTGTCCTCTGATGGCTCCAAAGGTAGTTGAGAATCTTGCATTCGTCCAAAAGCATCATTACAATTTCTGTTTAATTCCTACAGAATTTCTAACTAGCCAACACATAGAGAATTTCAGCTACTAGAATATCAGCTATGGTCTTCCCATATTTGCATATGCCATTTGCAAATTTTTATAATTCCAGGTAGGAAAACTACACTCAGAACCAAGTTTTAAAGTGAAGCCTTACCTAAAAGACCAGATATGGTTATAATAGAATCCAGCTTCCAAAGGCCACCATTGTAGGTAGAGGTGAAGAACGCAGACTTCGGAATCAAGCCTACCTGGGTTCAGATTAGGGCTCAGCTTACCTGTGAATTGTGTGACCGGACCAAACTACCTTGAGCCTCAGTCTCCTCCTCTGTGAAATGGGGCTAAGAATCATGTGTATCCATACATTTGCTGTGTGGATTAAATGAGATGCACCTGGAGGTCTTCCCAATGCCTGGCATAAGGCGCTCCCCTAAACAGCAGCATTTCAAAAGCAAAGGCAATGATGACTTTAGAGTCTTATAAGCCATGCGAGAACAACTGATGGCCTTATGTTTTGGTCATATATTCTCAGACAGAAAGAGATCTTAAAGAGAGTCCACTTATTAAGTGAAGGTGTCTCACGGAGTCCAGAGCATGACAGAAGGGGCCGGGGCTCTAGTCACCCGGTCGGCACCCAAGCAGAACAACTGTTCTGTCTCACACACTGGGTTCCATCTTTCCTGTGGACTGCTACTTGAAAAGTTATGGAACACCAGATGTAACCCAATCCCCTTATTTCACAGATGAAGAAACTGAGGCTTAAAAAGCCTAGGTGATTTCCCATGCACTTAGCAGAGGCTTCTGACTGCCAGGCCAGTTCATTCCCAAGACCCCATCTGTTAGAGATGGAGACAATTAAAAATAGAAGAAAATGTTGAATCAGCTATTGAGTCTTCATATGGTTCTTCTAGCGCCAAACATGTCTCTAGAGAAAGGAAGTCATCTGTCTTACCCTCACCCCATGGCTCAGTTTGTAGAAGTCCTGGTTTGTGTGTAGACAGTCAGTCATAGGTGGCAGGAGTCCCTGTAAAAATGATATTTGCCGGAAAGTCCTTTCTCCTCTTTGGCCAGGCAACTCCTGCTCCATCTAGTGATCTGTACTCCATCCTGTGGTTATTGATCATATCTCTCTCCATGGCCAGAATCTTATAAACCCATTCACAGGGTTCCCCGTGAGAGAGAGTGGATGACGTCAGGTTTGTATCAGCAAAACATCTCCCACCAGCACTCATGCTGCATCTATTCAGTTCTCAGCTGCTTACTTTGCTACAACCTCTGTTTTCCAGCCTCTCAACATTGCCTATAGCCACATCTACAGCTCCTACAGGAACTTTGTGGGGCCCCCTCATTTTAAGACCATCTGCAGACTCCTGGGTTACCAGGGCATCGCTGTGGTCATGGAGGAACTGCTGAAGATCGTCAAGAGCTTGGTAAGGATGGACCTCAGTAAGGACTGGGACCTGCCTTCAGCTCTGTGTATAGGTATCACCACGGGAATCCTTTGTCCTTATCCCTTGGTTTCTCTTTAACATTTCTGTGCACCTTCTGATGTGTGGCTTTGCTTCTCATTTTTCTGACCCAGAGGTCGCCACTTATATTTATGACTGAACCCAACAATCCTGATTTTGACTGATTTTGAGGCCTACTACTGACTGCTCACACTCCCCTCCTGTACTGTGTTTTCTCATTTGAGTGTGGCAAATCTGTGACACATGTGCTGTGCTCTTCCCCTCCTGTGCTCATGGCAGACATCTCTAATCAATCACCATGCTTTTTCCCCCCTGGGATTTCTTGCTAAACACTGCTACCAATACTGTACTGGCATCAAGGGAACCCTGTATCTGCCCAGATATGATCATCTGAACCTCATTTAGTTCCCCACAACACTGCTAAAACAAAGCTGACATATTTATACATTTTCCTGAAATTTTGAGGTGACAAAAGAGTAATAACTGAAGTACCATATAACCATGTCAGGAATAGCAAATGGGATTCACCTGCTAACTCCTCCTGTGGCAGCTGTGTGTGGGCCATGGGTAGTTAGAGATGGTGAAGCTGAATCCAGTGTTATATAGGAAAATGTGGAAATTGATTAAAGATGTCTGCCTTGGATACAGGATAAATGTGCTGTGTATTTTCCATGCTTTAATTAGATGATGTGTCTCCTCCAAACTTCCTGGCCTCATTTCATTTTAGCTCTTAGTCTGGAGCTCATATAAGTACCCCAGCTCTAGGAAGGATCCCATACCTAGAAATTCCCCTTCTGGAAGTCTGTGAGCCCAAGGAAGTAAGAGAAAGCTCCTTATTCTATATTATAAAGGCCCATTTCCCTTCTCTAGGGCAGATGTCCCCCACCTTTGGGCAAGAACCTGCTCCCACCTCCCAGGGAGCGACACCTCACTGTCAGGCAGCTTGGGCTAATATGAAAACACACTGCAGACTGGGTGGTTTACACAACAAATGTTTATTCCTCACAGTTCTGGATGATAGAAGTCCAGGACCAGGGTGCAAGCACTGGTGGGCTCTAGTGAGGACACTCCTCCTGGTTCTCAGCTGCCTTCTCACGGTGTCCTCCCACGGCAGAGATCATCCCTCTCCCGTCTCTTCTTAGAGGGGCATTAATCCCATCATGAGGGCCCCACCTCCCAGTATCACTACGTTGGTGATCAGGGTCTCAACATATGAATTTTAGGGGGATACAAACATTGAGTCCACAGCAACTACCCACAGTCCGCACAGAACCCCCTCAAGCTCCAGGAGGCCCACATTCAGCCCAGAGGGGCACATGGGCAGCAACGATGGCCTGTTTCGCTCATCTCGTACTCCTCTTTTGTCAGCTCCAAGGGACCATTCTCCAGTATGTGAAAACACTGATCGAGGTGATGCCCAAGATCTGCCGCCTGCCCCGGCATGAGTATGGCTCCCCAGGTTGGTGATGGGCAACAGGGCAGGGTGGTGACGGAAATACTCCGAGCCCAGCCACGGTGGAGGGCTCCGGCCGTCCACCTTAGAGTATGTGCTCCTCTCACATGCAGGCCCGCAGAGCGCTGGGCTTGCATCCTACCCCCGCTGCCACCAGCCTGAGGGCCTTGAACAATTCTTAATCCCTCTGGGCAGTAGTATCGTCCTCCATCAGTGAAGGTGAATGTCGCCTGTTGGGCCTGCCTCACAGGACTGCTGGGAGCTAGGAGAGGGCAGCAAATGTGCAACGTTTAAATAATGAACAGCCAAAGGGACAGAAGTCAGACAAAGACAAACACCATACAATTTCACTTAAGTGTAGAATCTAACCCACAAAACAAGTGAACAAACAAAATGGAAATGGACTCATAGACCCAAAGAACAGACTGGTGGTTGCCATAGGGGAGGGGTTGGGAGATGGGGAGAATAGGTAAAAAGGGAAAAAATCCGTGAAAATGTTTGATATCGCAACCTGGGTGATGGGTATGTGAGTATAGACACATGTCAGAATTCTTCAAGCTGTACATTAAGATTTGTGCATTTTATTGTATGTACCTCAATATAAAAAATTTTTTAATAATAAACAAACAATGAACAGCAAGGTTTACTTGCAGAAGTCTTCATTAGCTCAGCACCTCTAGGATTCCTTCCTCTGTCCATTTTTGGGAGACTGTGTCCCAGGCGGTGGTACAAAGTGACATTTCTAAGGTGAATCAAGGAACAGGAGTTTTTGCCACTCAGCTTCTGGGCAGAGAAATAATTCTTTCTTTTCCTACCAGTGAATGGAGCAGGGACTGGATCTGGGACCTGGAGATTAGAGATAGACGGAGACTGTGAGTTTGGCACTTGGTGTCTTTTCAGAAAGCCAAGATGTCAGGTGCTGGGTCTGTATGATTCACAACAGGAAAGGCCTGGGACCCTAAAGCTCTGGTTTTCAATCCCAGCAGCCACACTTAACTAGCCGTGTGAATATGGGCATGCTGCTTGCCCCTCTCCGAGCCTCTGGAAAAGGGAGTAACAGTGCCTACCTAGTTCATTGTATTGTTACAAGTATCCAGTGAGATACTGCAGATAAAAGTGCTTAGCATGATATCTAACACCTATAAATAAACATTAATTCCTGTCATTGTTAGGAATTCAGGCAACTTTTTAAAGAGACTGGACAGATCCAGAGCTGTGTGTGTGTTTTGTTTTGTTCCAAAAAGGTCTGAGCCGGCCTCCTAGCTTTCTCTAGTGCTGAGCCCTGAAGGCAGGCTCGCCCGTGGGCCACGGGTGCGGGTTTGGCTCTTCGCTGTCCCATCGGGTCCTGGGCTGCTGCTCATAAGCCTGGCTGCTAGTCTCAGTTTCCTGCTAACTGTGTCCCTTCACCTGCCAGGGATCCTGGAGTTCTTCCATCACCAGCTGAAGGACATCATTGAGTATGCTGAGCTCAAAACAGATGTGTTCCAGAGCCTGAGGGAGGTGGGCAATGCCATCCTGTTCTGCCTGCTCATAGAGCAAGCCCTGGTGAGTTTCGAGCCCCAAGGAAGGGAGTGTCTCCAGGCTGGAAGGGGCCCCCAACCCAGCCAGATACTCTAGGCCCCGCTACTGCTGCCTGCCTGGGAGGCCCTGAGGCACAGACTCACGCCCTCGGTGTGGCATACGCACTACATCTCTATTCCATTTGCAGACAGCTCCAAACATTTGAACAGTAGGAGGTTCACAGTCCCTGGAGTTAGCTGCAGGACCTGGCAACCTGTTGAAGTTTTAGTTTTCCATCCACTCATAAAACAAAAGAATTCCTTGTCCAGCGCTGCACTGGGGGTGTAGCAGCAGCCGGGCCCTGCCTCATGTCCTGGGGAGCAGCAGGGAGACTGCACTGAGCAGGTCTACACAGAAATGATGCGCTTACAATTACAGCAGGTGCTACGGGGGATGCGTACAGGGTCCAGTGGGAACATAAAACCGAGAACTTGGTGTGTCTTAGGGGAGAGGGAGGACCTCCCTGAGGAGGTGACCTGTGAGTGAGCAGGAGTTTGCCTGGTGAACAGCTGGGGACAACTACTCCAGGACGAGGGACGGGCAGGTCGTGTTATCTTCATTTGTTGTGAGAGGAGGCAGTGATTCTGCACCTAAGAGTAGTTTAAAGGCTGAAAGGAGACGACACATGTAAAGGGCATGCAGAGTGTAATGAGCAAAAGCATGTCTCCCTGCTGCCACCCCTCAGGACCACGCAGGAGCAGTGCACACTTTCTCTGCCACATTGTCCCTCCCCAGCCGCCAGCCCTCCTGGATGATTCAGGGGCCCACTCAGCCATCACTGTCCCTCCCAACCTGTGCTTGCCCCAGCCCTGCAGGCCAGGGGTCGCGTGCAGCCCAGCGGTGGAAGGAAGCAGAGGGTTGTTATCGCCAGGGCCGCTGGGCTAGGTGGGGACCCCTGGGCATCTGGTTCTGCATCTTCCTAGCCGTACGCTCGTTCAGCAAAGGGGCATTGTGAGCTCTGCCAGGCGCCTTTCTGGGTTGTGGCTAAATGGCATGAGTAAGAGAGACCAAATTACTGCCATTTTTATTCTGGAGAGGGAGGTGATTGAAGAAGTCAGCAACCAAAGTTTGAATTCAGGTGGTGGGGCGAGCCGAGAAGGACTAAACAGGGAAGGAGGCCAGAGAGAGAGAGACGTGTGTCGGGAGACAGGTGCTGTTTTGGAGATGGGAGAACGCAGGAGCGAACTGGTGAAGAGGCAAAGGGCACGGGTTGGGGCCTGGCGGGGGAGGCAGGCTGGGGCCTCTGGGCCCTGTGGGAAGCACCGGTGGGTCGGGAAATGGAGAGGAGGAGTCTGGCTGACTCTTTAAAGTCCCTTTGGCCTCGGGGAGAAGAACTGACTGTGAGCCAAGTGAAGGACAAGGCTGTGTCAGGTGTCCTGCCCAGGGATCCCCTCTGAGGCAGAAGGCCCTGGAGAGGGGAGGGAAAAGGAGGGAATCAGGAAGGCGATGGAAGAAAGGGAGAGAGAGAGAGATGAGGAGGTGACAATGGCCGGAGCTGCGGGAAGAGCCCAGGGGGATTCTTGCCTCCGACTGTGGGACCTGGAGGGAGCCATCTTGGCAAGGAGGGACACCTCCCAGCTGCCCCCCCAGACCCTTCCCACCGGAGAGGCTGAGATGCCGCTGTTTTGTTCTTCCTCTGTAAGGAATAATTGCCTCGCTGTTCCCCTTTAAATGTACTCTCGAGACAACTAAGTGCTCTACTTGGTGGTAACAGGTTTTTAGCATGGCTCAGTGGGCCTAGGTTGCTATGGCAACTTAGCCTTTGGAAGTCACGGGGATAAGATTAAGGAGGGAATACTGCTCTGCTCAAGGCCTCATGGAGACATGTAGGGGCAGCAGGAGGAGGGAGGTGGGGGAGGGCTGGGCCCTGATGCCACAGTCCTTGTTAGCACCTCCTTTCACCAGGAGCTGTGACCTGAGAGCATCAGTTAAGCTCCCCAAGACAGACCCCAACAGGCAGACTGGATGGGGCTACAAGGAAAGGAAAACTTTTCCCAGGCATCCCTGCCTGGGTGGTCACCTGCATATATCACTGAGGACAGCAAGATACTCAGGGTCAGAGACCTTCAGAGGTGAGAGAGACCCCAGCAGTATATGTGCTCCTACCCCTCTATTCATAAGTGAGGACATGGAGAACCGGAACAGAGAGGGGAGCAACTCTCCTGAGGTCACACAGCACATCAGCAGCAGAGGTGGAAGAATGAAAGCATAGGTTTCAAGTACTAATCCCAGTGCTGAGGGGCATCAGGGCACAGAGCAAGGTCAGGGTGCCCCAAAACTGGGCACTGTGCTTTCTACTTAGGCAGCTGGGGAAATCCCTTAGCTAAGACAACATCTTTTGAGAATATGAGTCATATCATATCCATTTTCCTCATTAAAGATGGGTACTAATTACCAACAGCAAAAGAAAGGGAATAAGGAAGTTGAAAAGCATAAAGTACTGAAGTCGCTTTGCACATACCAACCTAGAGAATGGTGAAAGCTGTAATATTGAGCAAAAAAAAAAAAACAGGTCTCAGGACAAACACACATTATGATTCCATACATGTAAAGTAAACAGAAAAGTAAAACCCACAAAATAACACTGCACTGAAACAAAAATCTAGAAAAAATGCATACCAAATAGTTGTCATTTTCTCTAGGTGTCAGGGAGGAAACTGGAATTAGAGATCAACAGAACACTAGCTTTACAGGATATCTCCTGTTTTATAAGGAAAGTACCTTCATATATTATTACTGAACTAAAAATTAATTTCAAAGATGGGAGTAGTATATAATAGTCTTAGAAAAACTAGAGTGATACTGAAAAATACAAAGTGAGAAGAAGCCTTTTGCCCGTCTTTCCCTTGAGTTATTTTTTTCCCTAATAGATTTGTAGTTCTCTCTGGTTGGAGGTCCCATATTGGCATATATGCTACAAACAGCTTCCTCATTCTGTAGCTTGCCTTTTTGCTTTTTAACAGAGATTATTAATATATCATTAACATGTAGGTGGACAGAGTATAAACTGAAAAGGCTGATTACGTGGACAAAGTTATATTCTTTAAAGTATGTGCTTGCAAATGTTTCTCAAAGTTCAGGATGCAGTATTAGTACAGAAACCCCTGTATCTGTGGAGTTGGGTTGTTTTGTTCACCTGGCATTATTAATTATGGTCTAACATGTGTACAGTAATGTATGGAATATTCAGTATTCTCATAGCATATAGACTAATTGAATCATCCATTTTACTGTGGATGGACAGTTGGGTGTTTACAGAGTTAAACTGTTATGAATAAAGATGTCATGAGTACCCTTGCACATTTCTTTTCAGGGATATATGCTCTCACTTTTATTAGGTGAATTTACCTACTGTTAGAATGGCTGGGCCAATGTGTAGGCATATGTTTAGCTTCAGTAGATACTGCCAGATAGCTTTACAAAGGGATGCTACCAATTTACTCTCCCATTTAGCAATGTATGAGAGTCTTTATTTCTTCACATCCTCCTGAGCACTTGGATTGCCTGACTTTTTGAGCCATCGCCATTCTGGAAGATGTGTTGTGACATCTCCTTCTGGTTTTGATTCCCCTGAAAATCAGTGATGCTGAGCCTCTTTCCATGTGGTATTGCCACTTGGGCAGCCTTTTTTGTGAAATGCTGTACACTATTTTTGCCTTTTAATTGACTTTTCTTTTTCTTATTGATTTGTGGGCAGTATTGATATATTATGGGTACGTGTATTGCAAATATTTTCTGTGGCTTTTCTTTTGATAAACAGAAGTTCTTGAGCCTTAGTGTAGTTGTCATTTTTTTCCCCTACATGGTTGATGTTTTTGTGACTTGTTTAAGAAACATCTTCCCTACTCTGAAGTCATGAAGATATGTCCTAAAGGTTTTAGAGGTTAGCTTTTTTTCAAGGCTTAACAGAACTTTAAGTCCGTTATTCACCTGGAATTGATGTTTGTGTTTAGTGGGAGGTAGAAATTCAATTCTATTTCTTTCCAAGTTGTCCCAGCACCACCGATTGAAAAGACCTTCTCCCCCGCTCTGCAGCGACAGTGCTGTGTGTCTGTCACTCACCTAGTGTCCGCTAAGTGTCTTGTTATGGGAGTTTCTTAAATATGTAAATCTAATCTGAAATGAATCAGCATTTAAGTATCTATTTAGAATTCTGTTATGTTTTTAAAGGAAATTCTGTTGTTAACAGCTTTTGTTTCCTGTAGTATCACCTACCCTGGGAAATCACTAGGTGGTCATTGGGGAAAGATTACATAGTCGCCAAGTTTTTTTTGCAAATTTGTGTGGTGTTGAAGCTATCAGCCCAGTGTTCATTATGCTGACACACACCAGAAGAGGGCCCGGGCCCTAGTTGCTGACGTGAGCAAGGGAGGGCCTGAGTCGCTGGGAGGAGTCAGCCCTTCTGTGGGCCTTTTGCTGCAGTGCCTCCCCCTAGGACTTGAGAGTGTTCCCTGCCTTTGGCCCCGCTGTTTATTTCCCCTCTCCTCCTTGTAGTTGAATGGGCCACAGTCCACCTGCTGTCATGAGAGCATTACTTCTATTACAAGAGGCAGCAGCAGTCTGGGCCTGAACTCGCAGAATCTAACGCTGGTCAGATCTGGGTCAGAGGCCACCCAGGGCAGGTTTCTCAAGCTCTGCAGTGCTGACCTTCTGCACCAGGAGCCCTTTGTTGCAGGGGCCTGTCCACCGTCGGGTAGGATGCTGAGCAGCCTCTTTGGGCTTTACCCACAAGCTCCTAGGGTGACAACCAAAAGAGCCTCCAGATGCTGCCTGATGCTCCTCTGGGGGACAAAACCTCCCCCTGTGGACAGCCACTGATTTAGTGCAATCCCACACTTCCCAGATAGGAAACTGAGGCCCTGAGAGGGAGACAGCTCCCCCAGGGCCACAGCCAGTGCAGGAGTGGGGCCGAGAACCGCAGCTCCTCAGAGTCAGCCCACCTGGGGAAGAGGGCGTTCTGCCAATCTTGGCAGATTGCCTTGTGG